AAAAAAAAAAAGTCAATAAGCAGGGTTTGTACATTTTATTATCAGCTGAGCTGTGATGAAAAGAAAAATACCATCAAATACCGTGAAACCGGTGAAAATGTTGAAAATACCGTGATATAAAAAATTTTTCTTTTGAAAAAATCTCAATAAACAACGCCACACAAACATGTAACGTTTTAATACAGTATTAGTTCACACTGGTAGATTGTTTTTGAGAAAGGTTTTTTTTAATAAACTTGACCAATGGAAAAACAAAATAAAAACTTGTTTGGCTAGCCATTAGCCTAACCTGGATGAAGTCCTGGATGATTTCTAGTACTATGTTTTTTTCTTGGAAGTATCCTAAAGTTATCCTTATGATTGTTCTGTGTTTTCTTGGTTTTTGAAGCAGCTGCCTGTACTACATACGCATACTACAGACTTGTGTCATTTTCTTTCAAATATTTTTCTTAAAATATTTTATGTTTKTTGGTATTTTTTTGAACATGAGATTAATGTCCAGTACATGTATAGTGATAAAAAAGACTACAGGCTCTGAACATGTCTGCCAGTCTGACAGCTGGACTCAAAATTGGACCAGGTTTCATAGTTTGGGCTGCCCACCATCAGGTTGTTTTCCAGCACGTTCAGGTCTCACTTCTCTGGAAAACTAAATTTGTTCAAATAAAGTGGAAGATTTTATTGACGTTGATAGTTGTAATTCATATTAAATTTATAAGATTTTGAGGTAAACTTTGTTCTTGTTGCACAACTGGATCTTTCGGGGTTCAACCAGAACTCCTCTGCTGTCCCAGTCAGAACCTGATGAAGAGTCAGAACTCACCTGGCTCCTCTGGCTCGTTCCAGCAGGGTTTCAGCTCTCTGGATGTCGTCGGCGCTCWGCTGCAGGATGCTCTCTATGTGTCCTAGCTCTCCCACCTTCTGTCGGATCTCCTCTGTGAGATTCTGCAGATGGGCCGGAGTGGTCGGCATCTGCATGGCCAGAACCTCGTTGGCCACGAGTTCAATGCTCTCCGGGTCTGCAGCATCCTCTGAAACACAACGAGCAAGGTCAGGACTCCTGGGGCCTCATGTATCAAGGGTGCGTACGCACAAAAACCTTTTCCACGCAAAACCCCAGATGCATCCAGACTGAAACGAATGTGGGAATGTGCGCATCCTAAAAACAGTGTTTCTTTTTACATAGAGAGAATTTTCTGATAAACCCATCAGCCATTTTCAGCTTCTAACAATAATCATTTTGCATTTCTTGGAGCTCTGGCGCTCTGGGAAATCAACACAGCAACGTGAAGCCAAGCGCTGCGCGTGCCTCCACTGAGGCAGAGCRACTCATCAGTGGTGGGCACTAGTCCCCTAAATTGCGGACCTAAAATTTTTCTTTGCACTTTAGGGGTTTTACTAATTTCTTTAAACGATGTGCAGATTTGCGCTTTCTAAATTTAGAAATAAGTAGCGCTGATTGCAAACAATGTTTCGCATTCTATCATCAATTTCGTCTAAAGTAAAGGGAAAGAGCCTTTTAAACTCACTACGTTTTGTAGCCACATAATTCATTAAAACTTCATCATCATCGTATCATCATCTTGAACATTGGAAGGGAAAGCCATCTCTTCTTAACTCAATGGCACTCCACTGTGTGGAAACAGTGACCCCTCAGGTAACAGTGCATTCACAGAGCTTTATACGCTGGCTTACTGTCCTTCTTGGTGACGGTTTTCATAGAGACTGTTCCCACAATTCTTTGCGTGGCAGGAAGCAATTTGAGCTTCTTCACTGGGCGACAATCCACCTGCGGTTCTGATATGCAGAACCACACTCAGCTGTGCAGTTTGTAGCAGCAGAACTGGCAATCCACAACTATTTTTTGTTTTAACATCATGATTTAAAAATCTGTTTCGACGAATCACCTCCCCCAAACTGCGACGACATGAGCCAATCTGTGAAAGAAAATGGTCTTACCACTAGATGGCAGTAAAGTGCTGACTTGTCTCTTACCTGAATGTTTTCTGGTAAACAGAGATAATCTTTCGCTTTATATTTATCTTACGCCAAGTTTTATTGTGCATATGCGCCTTTGAACGTGTGGACTTAAATAAATTGACTAGCGCTTTAGGAATTGTGCAACTAAAATTTCAACTAGTGCTGTCCACCACTGCAACTATTAAATAAACAAAGATCTATGTTTTACCAAACAACTGAGTTCCTCTGTGTTTATAGTAATTATATTAATAAACTCCTGACTGCTGCGCTGCTCTCTCTTTCTCTCCACACACACACACACACACACACACACACACACACAC